TTTTTTGCTAGCACCTGCCACACCAGCTGAAAACATCTCTTTCCATTTAATATTTTGTCCTACTTTGTCTCCTGGAAGTGGGAGGCACAGCCCTGCTGCAGAAGACAGTGCTTTCTGAGGCCAGTCCACTGAGAATTACAATAATCTTGCCTTGCTTTAAATTTAGACTTTGTCTCTTGTTTTCCTGGTACAAGAGAGCCAACCGCGTCATTAAGAGTCCTTGCAAGTTGCTCTACACACTGTCACGCTTATTTTGTCATGTTAGGCATCAAAATGCATCACACTTTCCATAAAATTGGATCATAAAAGCATACTGCCCTGTGTTAGCACTACAAGATGTGCCACCAAATCCATCTCCATCACACGTGGGTGGGAGTTTTGTAGCAAAATAACTATCTGCCAGCAATAGGATGCTCAATAATGCAGCAAGTTTGTCTGCTTGAAGTCTATAGCTATTTATGAAACTATAGAACAATTATTTCTGTAACTCCAGTTAAAAAAAAAAAAAAAGACACAGATACTTAAAATAGCATATTTGTCAACACTGAGTTGTTATTGCTTGTTTACAGCTAAGTGGGCACATCTTTTCTCATGGGCTTCCCTTCACTGTCCCTATTAAGGACATTTCAGAGACACTTACAACACTCCTGGATGAGAAAGAGCAGAAGCCAAACTTAAGTACTCACAGCTGTGCACATCATGTAGCCCAAACCAAAATCGAAACGGCACTGCTCATTCATGGAGTAGTGAATTCCTGGCAGCTGTGGAAGGGAAGGCCAGTCATGTTCGAAGGGATCATCACGCAGACAATCATAGGAACTGCAACAGGCAAAAATTACAGTAACAGATGGGGCTGTGAGACTTGCACAGTGTTTGTGGTTTCATTGCCTTTTTATTCCAAACAAAACAGAGCCTATGATTTCTCAGATGCTGGTCGTGAAGAGCAGCTAATACTGCAATTACACTCACATTAACTTTATCATGTTGTATCCACCTTTAATGGATTCTCTCTCTATATATATACATACATATATATATATTCTAGATATATTTTTTCTGAAGCCCTTCCATTGTAATTTCCATTTAGCTTCCATGTAAATTCCTGTCAGTCTCCAGGCTCCCTATGTGAAAGGAATCAAAGGAAGAATCCACATGAGACCAAGAAGAAAAGAAATTTTAATTAATTTTCCATTTGTGGAATTTCTTGCTGCCTGCAACTGTCTTTCAAGTGAAGTTTTAGAAGCAGAAGCCAGGGTAACCATTTGAGATTACCACTAAGCTTGCAGGCTTCCTGTGTCCTTGCTGAGAAGCAGCGACTCCTTTACAAGCACATGTACTTTCCTGCCTGCATTAAGTGCTCAGGTTTGTTCCTTCTCTGTTTCTGCTGACAGCTCACAGCTCCATCCATAATTTGTACAAAGCTTCCTTTCTGTGTGATGTATAGATTGGATCTGAGGAAGAATTTCTTTGCTGAAAGGGTTCTGAGGCATTGGAAGGGGTTGCCCAGGGCAGTGGTGGAGTCCCCATCCCTGGAGGGATTGAAGAGTCGTGTAGACATAGTGCTGAGGGACATGGGTTAGTTGGGAACTTGTCAGTTTGATGTTAATGATTGGACTCGATGATCTGAAAGGGCTTTTCCAATCTAGGTAATTCTGTGATTCTGATTCTGTGATCACCGAGTGGTTAACACATATAATCATTGGCTAGGCAATTCTGTGATTCTGATTCTGTGATCACCAAGTGGTTAACACATATAATCATTGATTAATTCATAAAACCAACATGGTCGACAGTATCTCTGAAATGTCTCCAAGTCATTTAACAGACATGAGGACACCCTACACAAGTCTATTCTGGCAATCATTCCAGTTGCCTTGAAGATACCAATAGTTGAAAGCAGAATTTTGAGGTTAGATTTACTTCAAAGCAAACCATCGTTCTGCTTTGTTATAAGATACTTAAACATAGCTATATTGAAAAGAATGTAAAGCAGCCCTCTAGGCCAGATGATTTTTTATTTAATGGCTAAAGTTCTAAAGGATCTTGCTAATTGAAACAATCACACTTCTCTCATGATATTTTTACTCCTTATTGCCATACCCAAGACACCTAAGACAATAAAAATATTGACAAAAAGACTGACTCCTGTCTTTATGTTTACTTCAAGTATTTTGCTGCATTTTTTCCCACTCATTTTCAGTTTCTGGTAGGTAACATAGTAGTTTCCCCACATTTTTCCATACAACTTGCACATAACAACAAGGGAAAGGTTTTTTTCTATAAGGAGCAAAAACATGTTCATAAACATCAGAGTCTCTCAGGGAACTCCAGAGCAGAGCAGGTCTAGTGCCCAAAGTGTCAGGTTCAAAGGAAAGGCAAAGGACATGGATGAAGCTATTTAAATAGCTTTTGCACTTAGGGTACTTAAAGGAAAAGCAACAACTGAAGAAAGAATTCTA